CTTTCCTGCGGTCTCGCTGGTCTGGGCGCGGAGGTGGTGGTGGGCCATGTGCGCCCGGGCCGGGACCTCGCCCTGACTGGCCCGGGGGAGGAGCTCGATCACGGGGGTCTAAGGTATCACGGCGCGACCTATGTTGTTGTATATATATCACATGATTTAGTTCAGGTTGGAGAAGAATGGTGTGACGTGTATCTCTCAAGATAACTTGAAATGGATTGAGCTGAATAATATTAATAATAATAAAAAAGATAACTATAAAAAAAGGATTATCTTACTAAGCTACTCAAAGCCATTAAAATGCACTTTACACTGATAGAATTAAAAGCATAGGGGGTTGTGAAGGAACAAGGCCTTGATTGCCACTCTGAGGAGCTTGTACCCTGAGCTCTACCGAGCCTGACCTGTGATCATCGGCGTAGTCCTGGGGTGCGTCCTGCAGGAAGTTAGAAGGCACAAGCCCCCTGTGGCCCCCCAGTTCACCCATGTAGAAGCCGTCATCATCCATGTCGCCATAAACGTAGATGATGTCGCCCGTTTGGAAGGAAAGCTCCACCTGTTCAGAGGCGAGAAAAAAGGGAAAAACGTAAAACTGTCAGCCAACAGTTCTCTCTCTTTATTTTCATTTTTGCGTGCTGGCGATACAGTCCGTACAGCTTTTGCTCCTATGACATTCACAAGACTAACTTTTATTTTGGGGGGCTGTTCATTCATAAAAAATAAATAAATAAATAAATAAATAAATAAATACATATACATTACTACTGAGCAATCATTGTAACCAGTGTTCAGCATGTCATCACAAAAACAAACAAATAATAAAACAGAAAAAAAAATCAGGGCAATATAAAACTTTTTTTTCCTCTCATTTTTTTATCTGATCTATAAATCTAGTCCTTTCTCTCTGAGTCATCATATTCTACTACATCAGAAGGGAGGCAGCTCAAAGCTAAAAGAATTCTTCCTGGGGTGATAGCTGGTTGAAGCACAGTGAAGCAAAATTCACAGCATACCACAACTCTACAGCATGATTGATTGCAAGAACTAATACACACGTTCCAGAGGCTAATGAAACACTCCCAGGTGGATGAATGGATGAATGAAGACACAGATGGACTGGACAGTGAGGATGGATGGATCAGACATTGATGGCTGAAGACGGATGGAGGAAATGAATGGTACTACAGTCAGCTGTTTGGAAATCAATTAATTAATCAATCTTTAAAAAAATGAAAGGGTTAAAAAGTTCCACTGGGGAAAAAAAAAATATATGCAACCCATGTTTTCAGGAAAAGAAAAAAAAAAAAATTCTTTGATATCTAATGGGTTTATTTCAAAAGAGTACTATGTTATATACTAGAAAAAAAAAATGTATTTCATTTTTTTGACTCAGAAATAAATCTTGTAGCTACAAAAAAAAAAAAAAGCCGAAGTAATTGTCTACTGAAAAAGGGAAAAGAAAAAAAAAGAAAAGAAAATACATTACAAATTAAAGTAAATGTCATATACAAGTCAGTAGCATTATAGCAGCTTCATATCATTAGTCTAGACATCAAATATTCATCAGGATGGTAATTTCTCCCTCTTACAGTACTGGACAATGTGGTACCAATAATGCGACATTTGTCTATTTAACAAATTCCTGGAGTACTCAAAGAAATTTTCAATTCACTGATTTCCACCTGATAAAGCTCTGATGAAGAAAAGCTTATCTTCTATCCATGTTTAATATCTATCTATTTACCGGCATGTCTCTGTTTGTGTTCTCTGGTGTGTAGAAGTTTCTTAGAGTATTAACATGAATATGGGATAGGGAGACGGAGAAAGTAAAGGGAAGTATAGGGAGGGATGGAGAGAGGAAGGAAAAGATAGAGGGAAGGAAGAAGGGAAGAGGGAGGAAGAAAGAGGGAAGGAGGGAAAGGGAGATACACTTTTACACCAGTCCATACTCACACAGACATAAAGTCACACATATATACACCAAAGACATACATATGCAAACATATACACATATAAATCCCCACACACACAGATATTACTTCTCAGAAAAACCTTCCTACAGGATCAAAGTAGCATGTCTCTGATGTTTGGTGTACTAGCTGTAATGTGACACAAAATGCACTAATGTAAGCGACAAACACTTGTAAAGTTGGCTCATTTAGCTCTCTCTATTTCCACAAAAAAGGGTGAATATTACAAAAGAAAAGTTCTAAAACAAACTAGTATGAATTCCTCATTTCTCTGGTTCTGCAAGAACATTATTACCATGTATACTATGTTCTATACTGTTTGACAGACTCCTCTCTAATCTTCAATAGAAATACTTCAAGGATAAAACCACCTTTTTGAGTTAGAAGCCAAAAGCCATGAGCTAAAGTGTCAATTTTCAATGTCCTACCCTTACTTTTTGCCAATGACACTTCTATAATCAAACTTTGCTGCAAAAGCTACATTTGACCCATATTAGCTGATTTGTTTAAGAAATTGTATATTTAAAAATACACAGAATCATATTACTGTATCTTGACATATATATTGCTGTGTCATCATGACTTGTGTAAATGCCCTATTTTATTAAGTGTTTACAACTGAAGGAATTAATCAGTACCATCAAACTTTTACATATTACTAACTAGTCACACACAAAAAAAAGCAGTATCTATTTACTTATCAGATAAAATATTGGAATCAGAGCTTGGGCAAAGATGAGTTCTTTACAGCTTTATATCTTAAATCCTTTTCTAATTATCATTCTTAGATACATTTACTATAGTATTTTATATAACTAATAATTCTCATTTGTTCTTTGAAGCATTAGAAAATTACTATATTTCCTATTGGAAAAATATGCAACCTAATACTTCACATGTCACTATAAAAAAAATATTTTGGAAATAAGTGAAATTTTCAAATGTAAAATTAATAACTACATTGACAATTTCATATCTTTTTAATATCTAAAATATATTTTGAGACAAGTACCACAATGCCTGATATTCAAGTAAAATTATGCTACTTTAAATCCTAATGGTCAAATATTGCAATTGACAAATAATTGTAAGCTATTTGGTCTATATAAACTCACTAGTTTTGTATACATTTTTCTGCCTAACAAAAATACAAGTTACATTTAAACACTCATTCTGGCTCATATCACAAGTAAACAAGTAAATAATCAGTCACTAAAAAATCCAGTTCTTTTCTTTTAGAGAACTGCCATGCTTTCAGATCTTTCAGTCAATTTCCTATATATTTTTTTTCTTATGCATGAAAAGGGTAATAAGGTTATTTCGTACAGATTTTTGGATTTTTGGAATTTTGTGTCAAAGAGAAAGAACGTGTGTGGATGTGTGTCTGTGTAGATGTGTGCGCATGTATAAGTATCTGGGGGCATGTGTGTGTTTCCATGACTATGCGTGTTTACGTGCATGTTACTATGTTTATGTATTACCATCTACATCACACTATCAATCCATCTAAAACGTATGCAAGTCTCAGCAATGATTACCTCTATCTCTAGTAATCTATCCAACCACATATCTTCGTTCTCACTAACATATCTACCTCTCCATCTCACTACATCAAAAAATGGAATCGCTCACAGCGCAAAAATCTGCACATACTCATGTAACGTACCAATGTTCAAAAAAAAGGAAAACAAAAAATCCCATGGATATTAATCAATGGTCACAGAGATGCCTGATAACAATGATAACACATGCAGTGGTGATAAAAGCAAATGTTAAATCTAGAGGGAGACACATTGACCAGAAGCAGCACAGTAGAGAGTTAACATGTGAGCAACGTGACATATATATATATGTAAAAAAAATAAATAAATAATAATAATAAAAAGAGGACACGTAATATTGGGAAAAAGAAGAAGAAAAAACACATCCTTAGTGGGACATCAAATTCAAGATTAATGACAACTTCCCCAATTCATATCCTTTTTAGATATATATATATATAAAAAAAGAAAAAAGAAAAAAAGGGGGGGGAAAAAGAAAAAGAAAGGAAAAGAAAAGAAACTAAGAATCCCACTCTTAGCTCTTCGATAGGCTTTCACTTAGGGTGTCGGCTAATCGGTGGGTTCTGGGATTTGGGAACAAGACCACCAATCGAGATTAACGGATAATCCACCTAGGTAATCCATCATTAATCCAAGAAGTAGAAGAAAGAGGGCTTTAAAAGGGGGGGACTCAAGAGACGTAATCCGCTTGCAGAGGCTTTATCAAAAATCCGTTCATCTGACAGGGTATGCCTGGCCCAAAATGGAAACTTTTGGTATAGTATTATCATTATTATATATTATATTATATTATTATGTATTATATATATGTATGGCGAAATTTAGGCGACAAAAACAAAAACATTCCAATTCACTAAATCACTTTGGTCTTTGGAAACATTCGTGTGTGTCACTTACCTCCTTCATGATACAACGGTCAAGAGGAGGACGAGGGGGTGAAGGCGGCGTGGGCGAATGGGCGGTGCGTTGGGACAGCGGGAATCAGGGCGTTAGTCACTTAAAATCCAAGGTCTCTATTTCTCTTACATAACCCCAGCGATGATTAGACAAGCTCATCTCTCTCTCTCTCTTGCTCACTCGCACTCGCTCTTTCTCTCTTTCTCTTTCTCTCTCTCTCTCTATTACGGTGCTTTCTCCTTGCTTTATCCATTACTCTTACTCTTTAACCCTTCACCCATAATACCCCTTAGCCCTCTCCCCTCCCCGAGAATCCACCCGACCTGACCCCTACCCTTTCTCATTGAACACCAGCTCCTCTCCCCCATCTGTTCCACCTGTTCCACCTGTTCCACCTGTTCCACCTGTCCTGCTCTGTCCACCCTTTCACTTTTGAGGCTCATAGCAAACTCTCTGTCCATCACATCATAAGCCAGGATGTGAATCAAGCTCCCCTGGATGTGATGGGCAGAATTTTTTTTTCTTTATACATACTTAAACAACTAACTTGAAGCATTGCCCGTGCATCAGGCTAAGATTTAGTGCTGACAATTCAAGTTTTGAAGCTTCTAAATTTCTTCTATATGTATCTATATGTTTAAATGTGCAAATATCAGTATATTTATATATATATCTATATATTACATATATGAACTCCAACATGTATATATAATATATATATATATATATATATATATATATATATATATATATATATATATATATATATATATATATATATATATATATATATATATACATATACATACATATATATATATATATATATATATATATATATATATATATATATATACATATATATATATATATATATATATATATACATATATATATATATATATATATATATATATATACATATATATATATATATATACATACATATATATATATATATACATATATATATAAATATATACATATATATATATATACATATATATATAAATATATACATATATATATATATACATATATATATATATATATATATATATATATATATATATATATATATATATATATATATATATATACATATATATATATATACATATATATTT